ATTGTGAGAATGATCTAAATATGAAATGGGTTTTTACAGAACCTGAAGTGTCGAAGTCTAGACATTTTAGACTACAGACACCAAGTGTTACCGGGTATCATCTACTGGTGAGTGTGAGGACTGTGTGCTCCTGGAGAGCAGCGGCAGCCAATGCATTCCTAGGAGATCCAAAGGAATCACAAAGTATTAGATTTTTTAATACTATATATGGGAAATACAAATAGGAATTAGTTCCAGCAACTAATCTGCATATACAAAACCACAACAAAAGGAGAGTTGAAAGGCAATGGGGCAGAGTATAAAAGAGAATGCTTTGGGGCCAAGGTGGATTTATTTGTACTGATGCTTGCCCCTGTGAGTTCGGATAAGCAATTTAACCTCTTTGAACCTGTTTGCAAGGTAATGTTTAGACTTGAATTTGGCAATATCACAGGGGATGCTGAGAGGGGAGAAACAATTTATGTAAAGTTCATGAAATAATATCAAGCACACAGTAAACACCGCAACGAAGGTGACGATGATTTCCTTATTAATTATTTGATCCCAGGGAAGGCCCAAAATTTTGCTATACTAACTGGTTTATACTAAGTTCCTAATCCTGAGACATACAGTGCTGTGCTTAAATCTGTGTTATGATATGTGCGTGTTATAGGTTGTATTGTATACCCTGCCACTCTCCAATTCATGCGTTGAAGTCCTAACCCCAGTATCCTGGATTGTGACTATATTTGAAGACAGTCCCTTTAAAGAGGTGGTTTAAGCTGAAATGAGGTCCTTAAGGTGGGTTCTAATCCAATCTGATTGGTGTCCTTATGAGAAGAGAAAATTTGGATATACAAAGAGACACTAGGGATGCATATTCACAGAGGAAATGAGCAAGAGAGGACACAGCAAGAAGGCAGCCACCTGCAAGCCAAGGAAAGAGGCCTCAAGAGAAACATAACCCACCTTGATCTTGGACCTCCAGCCTCCAGAATCATGAGAAAATGAATTTCTGTAAGTCACTCAAATAGTAGTATTTTGTTATGGCAGCCCTAGCAAACTAATACAGTGTATAAAAGCATTGCACCCTAGTCCATAATTCAGCTGCTTCATTTCAATCTATAGTAGAGCCATCATTTAGTTAAGTCTAAGAGTGCTTAAGCAGAAAAGACTCAAGCTTACAGTCACACAGACTGAGGTTCAAAGCTTGGCTCCTTTGCTTGTATTAATAATTTGTATGATCTGAAGCAAGTTACCAAATTTTTGTGAACCACAGTTTTCTTCTTTAAAAGAGACAGATGTTTAATTCACATGTTATGGGGATTAAAAATGAACATTCAGAGTACCTAACAAACAGTGGCTTCTGCCTTTGCTAATATGTGCAATTCTCATACAATTCTCTGTACTCCTTCAGGTAAGACAAGTTGTAGCACGGAAAAGATCATCTCAAAGAAGGTAGACTGGCTGTCATATAAGAGGTTTCTTTTAGTGAGTCTTTCCTGATATTTACAGGGCTTATAATTTACGATATAATGGCCTCTTGACTGCTCTCTGCCTCTAGGCTCACCACCTGCCAATCCAGCCTCTACACTGTCATCTAATCAATATCTCTAAATTCAAGGCTAAACACATCGTTCCCTTGTAGGTAACTCTTCAATGGCTCCCTATTACTGTCTCCAGTACGAGCCTCAGCTCCTTGAGTGGGAAATATGCCGTCACTCCACCTCTGGCTCATTTCTCTCCCCACAGCGCCTGTGCATCACACATTCTAGCCCTAGAAAAGCAGTGTAGCTGCCACACAAAACTTATATTTCATGCCTCTGTGCCCTGTTCGACTTGCTTTGTGAAATGCCCTTCCCTGTTTGTCACCTGGTGACTGCTATTTATCCTGCACTTTTTCGGGAAAATGTCGCCAGTATTCCCAACCAGATTTTAGCATTGTCATCTTACAAAAACAATGAATTTCTCCTCAGACCTGTCACATGATTACCATATTATACTACATTTAAATATTTATTATTTGTTTCCTTCCAGATAGTGAGCTTTCAAGGACAGGGTCTCTGTCTTAATAACTTTTGTATTCCAAGCATTAAGCACAATGCCTAGCAAAATATGGACATTCAATAAACACTGACTATTCAAATAAATGACCATAGGAATGAATGCCTGTTATCAATCATATTAATATGCTTTGTAAGTTTATATTCATTATTAGTCATTATTTCTTTCAACCTCAGTTTGATCACATATATTAACTCTTGCTATTGTCAGTTAGACTAAATAAGACACGTAAGTAATGGATTAAATTCCATGCCTGATTTTAGAGTAGGCTCTAAATAAATGTGGGCTCCCTCTTGTTTGCTATCAGTTTACAGGGGTTACACTGTGATATCTCTCTTCTTAACAGATCATACTATTTAATAGAGTAAATGTTTTAAATTTTGTACTTTATATCAAATATCAAAAACAAAAGATTATTTGGACTCTAATCCTATATTGCCTATATTCTTCACTAAAAAGCTACATCTCAGTTTCTACATCTACTAACTAGAGGTAATTATATTTACTGCATAGGATTAGGCTAATGCCCATGAATATCTACTGAAATCAAATATAAAAAGGACTAGCATAGTATCTGAAACACAGTAGGCACTCAATAAAAATTAGGTCCCTTTTTTCCCCCACAGAATTAATCAAACTGTAAACATCACTATACTGTGCATACAGTTCAAATAAAATACACCTGCATTTGAAAGTCCAACACACTGAATAGTCACCACCTGCACAACAGTTTTGGTCAACAAGGAACCACATATACAATGGATGTTCCATTAAGATCATAATGGAGGTGAAAAATTCCTATCATCTAGTGGCATCTTGATGATCCTGATCCTGTGTAGGTCTAGGCTACATGTGTGTTTGTGTCTTAGCTTTTAACAAAAAAGTTTACAAAGTAAAACATAGAAAAAAAAGCATATAGAATAAGAATACAAGAAAGGAAATATTTCTGTATAGCTGTATATTGCAATTTAAGCTGTTATTACAAAAGAGTCAAAAAGTTAAAATATACCAAAAGTTTACAGAGTAAAAAGGTTACAGTAGCTACGGGTAATTTATTATTAAAGAAATAAATACATTTTTAAAATAAATTTAGTGTAGCCTAAGTATACAGGGTTTATAAAGCCTATAGTAGTGTACAATAATGTCCTAGGCCTTCACTTTCACTTACTGACTTACCCAGAGCAACTTCCAGTCCTGCAAGCTCCGTTCATGGTAAGTGTACCATTTTTTATCTTTCATAACATATTTTTACTGTGCCTTTTCTGTGTTTAGATATGTTTAGATACATTAATACTTACTATTGGGTAATAGCTGCCTACAATACATGAATATTGTATTGAATCAATATGGCCCATGACTGTACTATAATGGATATAGGGACAGAACTGACAGAAATGTGCAGTGAGACTCTAGTCCTAATGTACCAGGGTTAAGAACTTGGCAGTGACACACCTGAGTTACCACTTATCAACTGTGTAGTCAAAGCAAGTGCCAGAATCTCATGGTTATTCAGTCTCCTCTTCTACAGTAATACCACCTGCCTTATAGGAGTGACGTGTTCACACGACCTAGACGGCAGGCCTTACGGAACTTATGGAAACTGCCAGAAATATATAGTATGCACTCAGCAAATGTTGTGGGGGTGGGAGACTTGCTTTGCCAGGACATTTAGACTGCAAATTGAACTATCTGTGGATATGTATGTCTTTAAACAAAATCTGAGAAGGACTTATTTATAAAGAGTATAAATCTTTGAGTTAGAATATCTGACTTAGAATTTCATCTTTCCACTTACTGTGTGATTTCTGGTAAATTAGTTAATTTTATGCTCCTTTTCTTTACTTATGCAATAGGAATAGCACCACATACTTCATTACGTTGCTGGGAAGTCCTGTCTAGCACTCACAATGTACCAGTCACTGGGATCAGTACATACTAGGAGGGCATCTACTCCCAGCACACTCAAGGATACAAACAGGATGCACAAGCCTTCCACTATAAACGGCCTGCTGAGAGCCAAAGTTTGAAGGCTACTTAAGTGTCACAAGTTATATAAGGTGATAATTTGCCATGAGCAAAAATGAAGTTTTTTATATCTATCTCAACCTCAATACTAGAGTTAACAAATAAGAGAACCTGTATGTTCAAAGCTTGACTGGCACCACATGAGTTCAAAAGTGAATTTATGCTTTATCAAAATAACCACATAGTCCATATTTATTTATGCTTCATGATTACTCCAAAGCCAGTATTTTGGTGTGTGTATATCTTTTTCTTCCACTTAGAATTTTGAACATAAAACAAAAGGTTTCTAGGCATTTAGGAAAACATTCTCAACAGAATAAATACTGATTTTATATATCAGTGAACATCTAGGTATATTATCAGAAGAGGTAACTATAAAGCTCTCTTTTTTGACTCTGGTAACATTTATTTCTGGGTAAATACTTCTTTGGAAAATGAACTGTAACTAACTTATTATTCACAGGTGAGAACATGAAGTTGTTAGAAAACAGGAGCACTGCTGCTAAGAAACTGAAATGTTCTACGAGTAGGAAACAAAACTTTTGACAGTTTCTTCTACAAACACTGACAATGGAGAATATTTACACATTTCCAATGTAATTTTTGGCCTTGAGACTGAATAGTCACACACTTTGAGGCTATTGTCCCACCTCAAAATATATTGAACACATAAATCAAATTTTTAGAATAAATAAAATTTCAGTTTTTTTTTCCCCAAGCCTAATTTGTTTAACATTACAATAAACCTGGGTGTGGTAATACATGTTATTTGGTGGATCATACAGTGCTTCTCCAATTAAAACAAATGAAAAACAAAACAGGGCAAGCCAAATTACCCTCACTAGCTGATTATCACGCTTCCCCTAGAGCATATGAACATGGAAGGACAAGACTATCTGTTGTGGGGTCTAGTAATAAAGACTGAATCTTACCTTTGGGCTGGGGTGCTATAGCTGTTATCATAGGAATCATAACTCTGTTCATCATAAGCAGTGCCATATCCATCATCATAGTCCTAAAATATAACAAGAGAAGTACAAAAACATTCAGAGAAGATTCTGGAAAGAAAGACGCATTCTGCTATTAGTGAATTTTCATTAATTCAGCTAGCATCTAACTGTATGACTAATTATAGTGCAAAGAAAAATACAGGAGTGACTTCAGCGAAAATGGTGACATAAGAACCTCCAAACATTCTCTCTACAAAAGCAGAGAAATTGGCAAAAAAATGTCAGAATCAACATTTTCAGAACACTGGAAATTAACCAAAGGACTGCAGAGATCTAGGGAGCATTTTTTCAATGGCTAAATCCTGGTTAAGAACAGTGAGGTTTGTGCTGTTTTAATTTGTGCTATTCCTATGCCCCCACTCCCCATCTCGGCACGAGCCTTGAAAGCCAATAGCCACAATCACCAGAGTCTGGAGGCCACGGGAGGGGGCAGAACAGGTTGGAGCTCTTTCAAAACTCCATTCCCAGAGAATTGCCTTTATTTGACCTGACTAGACCTTCCCTAAGTGTAAAAAAAGCCTTTTTTCTGGAGGTATTAGAAGAAAATAATTTGAGGCAATTGTTTGAGATTTTAGCTGCCTGATGTGTTAGAGAAAACCTGGGCAAACAATAGGCTAATCAAAAAGCTTCAAAGGAAAAGTGAGGAATGAGATACCCATATAGGTCCTGAAAAGCTCTGGAATATTCCCGGCAATCTAAAAGGGCATGAATAATGCCACACCCATGGCCAGGACCTTGGAAGGCCCTGAGCTATCTCTTCTGGCTGACTCTGAGGTGCAGCACAAGCAGCAAATGAAAGGCTAAGACCGATTAGTTATAAATTGACTCGTTGAGTGCTGAAGATGAGTCCCAATATGCAACCAGAAGCCCTTGGCAAAAATTAGGCAGTTTACAGGCATTTACTGAAATCTCTGTCCAGTCATTAGCTGACCACTAAGCTAACACAGAGGAGACTTCAGGGGCAAAAGAGAGTCATATAGGCTTTACAAAATTAGTGTGGAAGAGTCACTAAACAAGTAACAAAAACAAATAAACCCTGGAAGAATTTGATTTCCAGAGTTGAAACATTATATTAAATGTCCAGTTTTAAACAAAAAATTGAGACATCCAAAAAGAAACCCTATACCAAAAAAAAAAAAAAAAAAAGTCAATAAAAACTGTCCCTGAGGAAAATTAGACATTGGCCTTACTAGACAAAGACTTTAAGTCAGCTGTTTGAAATACACTTGAACCTTGAACATGGATTTGAACTGTGTGGGTACACTTCCACGCAGATTTTTTCAACCAAATGCAAATCTAAAATACAGTATTTCTGGGATGCAAACATTGCATATACAAAGGGCAAGCTTTTCAAATATGTGTGTTCCGCAGGGCCAACTGCCAGACTTGAGTATACATGCATTTTGGAAGCACAGGGATACTGGAACCAATCCTCTACATATACTGTGGGATAGCTGTATAGTCAAGGAACTAAAGGATATCCTTTCTAAACAACTAAAGAAAAGAATAAGAACAGTGCCTCACCAAATAGAGACTATTAATATAGAAAACATAAAAAGAACCAACAGAAATTCCTGAGTTACAAAGTTCAATAACCGAAATAAAAAATTCATTAAAACAGCTTATCAGCAGATATAACTAGGCTGAAGGAAAAAAAATCAGATACTTGAAGACAGATGAACTGACATTATCCAGTCTGAGGAAGAGAAAAAAAGATGAGGAAAACGAACAGAGCACCAGAGACTTATGAACATACGCACCAAATGTATGAACTTATGTACACTGAGATATCCAGGAGAGGAGAGAAAGGAGTAGAAAGATCATTTTGAGAAACAATTGCTGAAAATTTAAGAAGCTCAACAATCTCCAGAAAGGACAAACTCAGAGGCCCACGCCTAAGACATGTCATTGTCAAACCACTGAAAGGCAAAGACAAATAGAGAATTTTGAAAGCAGCCAGAGAAAAAAACTTATTACATGCATGTGATCCTTATAATATTAATAGCTGATTTCTAACAAACACTACGGAGACCAGAAGACAATGGGAAGCCATATTGTAAGTATCTAAAAAAATACTGTCAACTAAAAATTCTATATCCAGCAAAACTATCCTTCAAAAATGAAGGAGAAATTAAGATTACTAGGTAAACAAACACTAAGGCAATTCATCAATAACAGACATGCTCTATGAGAAAACTAGAGAGTCCTAAGGGGAAGTGAAAGGTCGCTTGAATCCGCATGAAAAAATAAAGAACACTAGTAAATCTTCAGGTAAATACAGTGTAAATATATTTTTTGAAACTCTTCTTCCTTCTGATTTAAAAGATAACTGCATAAATAATTATAAATACGTGTTGATGGGCACACAAAGTATAAAGATATACTTTATGACAGTAACAAGACAGTGGTGAAGGAAGAGAATGGAGGTCTTGAAAAGCAAACTTTTTGTGTACTATTGAAATTAAGTTGGTTTAATTCTGAAAAAGTGATATAAGTAGTTGAGATATAAATTATAATCCCCAGAGCAGGCTAAAAAAATAATAAA